TCACAATAATGTTCGTGATGCCAAATTGCGAAAATATTTCCCGGCATTTTTCAATGGTGGTCTCTGTATTCATATTAGGCGTTACGTGTACTTCCGGCCATTTACTGTAGGCATCGATAAGTACGAACAGATATTTGCCGATTAGCGGGCCGGCATAATCTACATGGACCCGCTTAAACGCCTTAGTCGGCATTTTGCAACTTATCCCATGGGGCTCCTTTTTGGGGTTGGGTCTTGTAGTTTGACAACGTACGCTTTTCTGTACTAGTTCTTCAATATCTTTGTCTAATGGGTTCCACCAAACATGAGCTCTGGCTGGACTTTTCATTCGAACTATGCCGAAGTGTGGTGTATGCAACTCGTCCAATACTTTACAACAACACGCAAGATATAACCGTTATTGGTAAATTATCCAATAACTCTTCTTCCACCACGTACACCTTCTCTATGCATTTGGTTTCCTCTGTGGTTGGCAGCCTTGAAAGCGCATCTGTATTAGCATTGTCTTTTGAACGCTTGCATTTGATCACGTAATCGTACTGTTCAAGGAATAATGCATAATATTGCATGCGAGTTGCTGAATGAATTGATATACCTTTACTTGGGGAAAATATTTGCGAAATTGCCCGATTATCTGTAATGAGATTGAACTATCTACCGTACAAATATTGGTGAAACTAACGTATCCCAAATATGATTTCATATGCTTCTTTGTCTAGTTGTGAATAGCGCTGTTGCACTTTATTCAGCGTTTGTGAAGCGAATTGAATCGGCCGGAACCATCGTCATACGTGTGTAAGCAACTCTATTCCTCCGCCAATCATTTGCAACCCTGTTGCCAATTCTGCTTGCTTACTTGCCACCGACACAACGCAAGAGAGACGAAGCGAAGTTAATTCACGAGCAGTTAGTTGACAACGAACACGCGAGCGAAACCATCCTGAACGACATATAAACTTTCATATCTTTGTAATTGATTAAATTTGTGTTAAATTCCTGTTGAATAAACAGTAATTCCCTATATGAAATAATGCCTTATTTCATAGTTCAGAAGAGGGATGTTTGCCCAAATTCGAGTGTAATTAGTTGTGTGGTATAAATGCGGACATACAAAGCGCATTGTGCAGTGAAAATTCTTAGCGAACATTCTAGAAATTGCTGACGTCGGTTTGTTAGCGATTTTCAACAGAACGAACGGCTGTGTGTGCAAGCGAGACTGTGTAACTGCGAAGCGTAGGGCAATCCTACCAACAACATATCAGCGATCAAACAAACGAACGTGCAACGGCCAAATTTTTAAACGCATGCGAAACTTAGGCGAATCAATGTAAGACAAACGTGGAAACGAGTGAAAAAACTGCGATAATCGGTTAAACGAAGCAAAGAATAAGAGCGTAAACGGCAAAACGAAACGGGTAAAATCGGAACATGAAGCGAATTTAAAGTAAACGACAAAAAGCGTAAAGGAAAAAATAAAAATAAATATGAACTTACGATCAAAACAAAAAATGGAAATGCAGGAAATTGACGACGGTGCAGCAGTAAAAATTGTGGATTTGCGAATTGATCAATTAAAATCAGTGCTCTCTCAAAGAAATTTGCTAACGTCTGGCTCGCGTGCTGAGCTTGTGCAGCGTTTGCTTGATAACAACGATTCTGACGAAATACAAGTGCCGTCGGTAGTGGTGAACGCGAATGCGAATGCTAATTTGCAGGAGCAAATGGATGAACTTCGTGGCGCGCTGGACAATATATTGGTGTTATTACGGCAAAACGCATCCAATGAAAATGCAGGAAACGATCGACAGCGCGAAAGTGTTGCAAACCCCATAGCTACCCCGAGTTGGCAAAGTGCGAATGGGCGCAAAGAGTCCGTGAAAGAAATAAGTGAAACAATTCCAGAATTTGACCCGACAAATCCCCAATCACTCACGGTGGAACAATTCACAGATCGTGTTAGTAGTGTTGTTCGTGCGTATCAATTTGATGAAAAATGTGTGCTTTTGGCCGTGTATAGTAGATTGCGGGGCGTAGCGCGCATGTGGCTTGACGCTCAGCCAAGAGTGCATACAACATGGAACGATTTTGCAAATGATTTAGTGGCAGAATTCGGCGTTCACCTCGATGAAGCGCAGATACATCGGGTGATGAGTGAAAATGTGCGAAAGTCAAATGAACGATTAATTGATTACTGTTTTCGAATTTGTGCGGTTGGTAAGCAATATAAACTTAGCGAGTCCGCGATAATTAACTATATACGCGCCGGGCTACGTCATCGCGAACTACAAGTTGCAATTGCCGCTTTGAAATTTAAAACCGTAAAAGAAATGCGTGAAGCCATCGAAGATTATCTGGCTAATCGCAATAAAATCAGTGACGTTAAATATAAAAGTGCGCCTGCCAACGTTCAAGAGCAACAATTTCAACAAGCCACAAAATCGCAAATTACGTGCTATAATTGCAAAGAGGTCGGTCATATCTCGAGCAAATGCCCCAAGCCGCAGCGCCGCGCTAGGTGTATCGATTGCAGTAAAGTTCATGGTCGAAACGAACCACAAAATTGCGGTAAACGGGGGTACGATGTTCGCCGAACTGAAGTTTCCAAATTAGGCGAGTATTTTATAAAATCTATCGAGGTTGGATCTGAAACTTTTAAAGCGTTTGTAGACACTGGTAGCCAGTGCAGTATGGTGCGTTCATCGATAGCTAAAATGCTGAACGCGAAGCGCGACAAATGCCAAACGCAATTGAATGGCTTTGGCGGTGGTAGTCTTATTATATGCGAGATGTGTGCACTTAATATAAAAATAGGCGAAACATGTATTAATGCAACGTTTTATGTGGTCGATGACTCTCTTTTACAAACAGACTTTTTAATTGGACAAAATATATTAACTAGCGAATCGGTAAAGTTCGGAAAAAGCGATGGACATTTAATTTTCATGAGTAAACGCGTTGAAGTTAATGGCAAAAAGAATATCGATATTGCCCAGCTAGTAAGCGATGTACAAGATCAAGCCCAACGTTCGAAACTGGGCGCTGTTCTAGAAGCGTTCGGTGATGTGTTTGCCGAGGGTTTGAACGGCATTGGCAAGACAAATTTAATCGAAATGACAATTGAACTTAACGACAAAAAAATTGTAGCGCAACCTCCGTATCGAATACCAGCGCCCAAAAAAGCAATAGTTACGGAAATGATAAACGAACTTGAAGCTAACGATATAATTATAAAATCAGTTTCAGAGTACGCAAGCCCTCTCGTGCTAGTAAAGAAGAAGGACGGTAGTGATCGTCTTTGCGTAGACTATAGGCGATTGAATCAATTGATGAAAAAAGAAATCTTCCCGGTTCCTAACATCGAAGAGCGTTTGTACGAGGCGAAGCAGTATAAATTTTTCACGGTCTTGGACCTAAATAGCGGCTACTACCAGATACCCATCGCGGCCGGTTCTCGTAAATATACGGCTTTTATTACCCCAGATGGGTTATATGAGTTCAAAAGGATGCCTTTTGGACTTAAAAATGCTCCTGTAGCTTTCCAACGATTGATGGCAAAAGTTCAGGACAAGACTAGACAAGGCGACATGATATTGTACATGGATGACATTTTAGCAGGCAGTAATTCGGTCGACGAAATGGCTGAGAAGTTGCGACGAGTACTCTCTGCCCTACAGGAAGCCGGACTTACTCTAAACGCGAAAAAGTGTACCTTTCTGAAAAATTCTATAACGTTCCTAGGTCACGAAATTACCCCTGATGGTATAACGCCAGGTGAGGTGAAAACTCAAGCTGTATCAGATTTTGCCAAACCCAAGAATGTGAATGATGTGCGTCGGTTCCTCGGACTTAGCGGTTACTTTCGGAAATTCGTCCCTGGCTATGCATTAATTTCCGAACCGTTGCGGAAACTTTTGCGAAAGGGTGCCGATTTCCGATGGTTATCAGAGCAGAGTGAAGCTTTTAATCAGCTCAAAGGTATATTGGCGTCAAAACCTCTACTGGCTGCATATCGCGTAGATGCTGAGCACGAGCTACACACAGATGCAAGTTTGGTCGGGTTAGCAGGTGTGTTGCTGCAGCGAGAAGGTGATGGCCTCAAGCCGGTCGCTTACTACAGTCGAGCAACGTCCGCCGGCGAGAGGAAGTTTCACAGCTTCGAGCTGGAAGCTTTAGCCGTGGTAGAATCACTCGAACGATTCAGGCACTACATTTACGGCAAAAGTATCATCGTAAGAACGGATTGTAACGCGATTCAAACTGCAATGAAGAAGAAAGAACTAATCCCACGTATCGCGCGTTGGTGGCTTAAGATCCAAGATTATGACATCGACATACAACATAGACCAGGCAGAAGAATGGAGCACGTCGACGCCTTAAGCCGAGCTCCCGCAGAAGAATCGACTGAATCAGATACGGCACATCTACGTATATCCAAGGTGGCGATCGACGAGTCTGACTGGCTCTTCAGCATGCAAATCCAAGACTATAAACTGCGAGAGATTATCAACGATATTAAGACGAAGAATCAATCAGCTGATGGAGACTACGTTATTAAGGACAACAGACTATTTCGGCGAGTAGACAACAAACCGTTATGGGTCGTCCCTAAAACCCTGAGACATCGAGTAACTCAAGACGCCCATGATCGCGCTGGACATATGGGTGTCGAGAAGACGCTACAACGACTGCTGGATCATCTTTGGTTTCCTAGAATGCGGAACTTCGTCAAAAGCTATATAAAATCCTGCGTAGAATGTACGTACTACAAGCGCTAAGGGGGAAAGAAGGAAGCCCAATACCATTTTGATGACATCGACCCAACTCCATTTAAGACCGTGCACATAGACCACCTCGGACCGTTTCCCAAGAGCGCTAAGCGGAACGAACATCTACTAGTCATCGTCGACGCGTTCACGAAGTTCACAATCCTTCGTGCAGTTAAGAACACTTCTACTAAATGTGTGATCGAGGTATTGAACGATGTAAGCAGCTACGTAGGCATGCCGGAGCGGATCGTTACCGACCGCGGTACTGCCTTTACATCTCGTGGTTTCCAGAAGTATTGCGCCGATAACAACGTTAAGCATATTCTAGCAGCGGTGCGTACACCACGAGCCAACGGTCATGCTGAACGTACCAATCGCACTATATTATCAATGCTTTTACCCTCCACTACAAACGACAAGCGCTGGGATGAGAACATCCGCAACGTTCAGTGGTGCATCAATACCATGAAGAACTCCACTACGCTTTGTACCCCCTATGAGCTTCTCTATGGGTTTCATCCTCGTGACATCCTGAAGAACAGAATTGTATCAAGCCTACACGACAGTAACTACTTAAGCGACGAGGAACTTCGAAACTTACGAACTACCGCAGCGTCCCGAGTAAATGACCAAAGAGCAGCCGCTAAGCTACGTTACGACGGAAAATATGCTAAACCAAAGTCTTTTGAAGAAGGAGACTTGGTCCTTGCCGAGAATGAACCTCCTAGCACTGGGTGCTCACGAAAACTCGAGCCACGCTACAAAGGCCCGTTAATCGTCACGAAGGTTCTCGATAAAGACCGATATGTTATCGAAGACCTACCGCAATCGAAGCGTTCGCAAAAGCATTATACATCTATCTACTCTACCGACAAATTAAAACAATGGTGCGCGTTGCCACCCGACGACGAAACCGACGGCGACCAAGAGTCCAACTCCGAAACTGGTGGCGGGAACGAGGGCGTTCCCATTGAGCAGGATAGCCGACTGTAAGCAACTCTATTCCTCCACCAATCATTTGCACCCCTGTTGCCAATTCTGCTTGCTTACTTGCCACCGACACAAGGCAAGAGAGACGAAGCGAAGTTAATTCACGAGCAGTTAGTTGACACCGAACACGCGAGCGAAACCATCCTGAACGACATATAAACTTTCATATCTTTGTAATTAATTAAATTTGTGTTAAATTCCTGTTGAATAAACAGTAATTCCCTATATGAAATAATGCCTTATTTCATACGTGTGACTCAGTACTGCCACAGTACTCTATGCTATCTTTAAAAAATTAAGATTTTTCGAGATTTACCGCACGTTGTAGCGATCAAGTCTGCTGAGAACTTCTTCAACGCCCCGTAGGTGCATACCATCGTCGGATGCCGTGATCTTAATGTCGTCTAAAAATACTGACACCCCGGGAATATCGGCTTATAATGGTTCCATTACGCGTTGCCATTTTGCCGGAGCGCTTGCAATTCCGTACATAATTCCTGTGGGTTCGTATAACCCCTTATATGTACATACTGTGAGTAAAATTCGGTCTTTCGGGTGGATTTCCAATTGCAAGTATGCTGTGGACAAGTCGAGTTTTCAAAACTTTTGCCCTCCAGCCATCTTGCTAAAAAGTTCATCCACTGTTGGCAAAGGATGCTCGTCGACTAATAACACTGGTTTTAGGGTTACCTTGTAGTCACCGCATATTCGAATGTTGCCACATTTCTTACGTACAACAACGATCGGTGTGGCCCACTCACTTGTTTCCACCTTCTTAAGAAGTCCCTCCGCAACATGTTCGTCTAGTTGACGCTCGGCGGCTTCCAATAAAGGAAAAGGCACTATTCTGTGTTTAACGTAGTTTTGGAAAACAAATTGGGATATCTCTTAACCAAGCTTTCTATTTTGTACGCTTCGCTACTATCTTCCATTTGGTTAATACGCGACGCGGTGTATGTTTCACTGTTAATTATCACGTTCCAGTCGACTATTATTTTATCCAGAAGTGGCTTACGATCTGATCTCGCGATATACAATTTTAGTAACTTATCACACAATTTGTCCGCAACGCATACCCAAATGTAACCTAAATATTCCAAAGGTGTGCCACAATAGCTCACAAGCCGTATTTTTGCTTCTTTTAACTGCGATTTTCCAACGTTTTTTTTGGCGTCTTCTAAGTTGATTGTCGATACAGGTGACCCTGTGTCCACTTCAAATGAAATTTTCGCATTATTAACTGACAACTTACATTCAATCTTTCTTCCTATGTTGTGAACTTCGCCACTGGTTTTGTCTTCGTTCATTTGGTTCACGTGCTTCTTTTGCCTTTTCTGTTTAAGGCACATTTTCTTTAAGTGCCCTTTTTTATTGCAAAAGTGACAGGTGAAGTCTTTGTATTTGCAGTTTTCTGCAAGGTGCGCGTTATTGCTACACCGAAAACATTTTCTTTCGCCTTCTCGTTTTTCTCTCTCTTCTCTGACTTTTTCTTTCCCAAAACTTTATTCACGCTCTCCTTGTCGTTTCCTCCTTGCAACTCTACACCTCCTTTGTCTGCCAATTGATATGCCGTAGCCATGCTGACAGCCTCATTAAGGCCCAATGACTTCTTTTTCAATAAATTACTTTGAATATTCTTATATAACAAACCAAATACGAACTGATTTCGTAAAGTTTTTTCCAGGTGCAGTCCAAAATTACAATTGACCGCCAATCGTCGTAATGTCACTGCAAACTCCGAACAAGTTTCGCCTGCTTTTATTTTGCGCATAAAACGAAAATTTTCCAGAATTTACTTTTTAATATTTTTATTGAGCTTTGTACCACGATTGTTTATGAGGAAAAATTGAAAAAGCAACAACGTCTAAGCGGTAGAAGTTATAGCAGCTATTTCAGAGATCACCACATCTCCTCATCAGACTTCTTTTATTCCAGACCTTATCAGGGATGGAACCTGGGTAATCGATGTTCAAAGTCAGAAGCGTTAACCACTGAGCTATGTACATCCCGTTAACTCTTGTTGCTAATTCACTTTCCTTATTCAACTAACTACTATCAGGTGGAGCTGATTTTCCGCTATTTAAACTCGACAGCGTGGTTCTTGTCAATTCTATACATCCATTTGCTTATTTGGTTTTTTGTATAGTTTCAGGCAGGCTTTCCTAAACTATGTATTTGTCAATGTTATTGTGGCTTATTAACATTTTATTTTTAATATTTTTGTTGAGCTTTGTACCACGATTGTTTATTAGGAAAAATTGAAAAAGCAACAAAGTCTAAGCGGTAGAAGTTATAGCAGCTATTTCGGAGCTCACCACATCTCCTCATCAGACTTCTTTTATTCCAGACTTCAGTAGGGATCGAACTTGCGTAATCGATGTTCAAAGTCAGAAGTTTTAACCACTGAGCTGTGTACATCCCGTAAACTCTTGTTGCTAATTCATTTTCCTTATTCAACCAACTACTATCAAGTGCAGCTGATTTGCCGCTATTTAAACTCGACAGCGTTGTATGTGTCTGACCCCATTAGATGAAGAAGCAGTTTTGCATGTTTGGTCTCTTCGCATTCGTATAATTGTAACGCGGGTTTGAAATGCTCCGCCTACCGTGACGCCGAAGGGCTCGAAATTGAAAAATGTAGCTGTAGCCATTGTTTTCACTATACGCCAGAACGTGAGCCGTTCTTACTCGTCGCCAAAAATTGTTATGTCTGAGACATGGGACTATTATGCTCTTTACCGCTTGTAAGCGGTAATTCAGAGATGGATATATATATACGTAGCGTACCAAGGTAACGGAATGTATACATATGAGTATATACATAATGTGAAATGAGAATAATATAAACGGTTGGATATCTATTATCCACTAAGGGCCGTTTTCTAATGTAAGCAGTAAAGTTGCCTTTACTAACAGGGCAGATAAATTGTTCCTCACTTTAAAGTGTTTTCGTTTTCTTACCTTGCCGGTAAAAATAAATTTGTTATTCCGTATAGTGAAACTTCACTACATTTCCGAGAGTGAAACTTCACTACATTCGTCATAAAATTTCAAAGGTTGGCAATGCAACATAAGCAAATATAGAGCAAGAGCAACTGTTAGCAAAAACCAAAACCTTGGTTGAAATATCTAATATATCTGACTCATGAACCAAAACCAAACCAAAATTTAAAGTTGGGTACAAATTTTAAAGGTTGCGTAGGGTGAGCAACAGTTTATCGATTCGAGAAATTAATGCGCTGATGAGAAAACGAAAACTCGTATATCCAGACGATAAAGTGGCCGGTAAACTAAAGGTTAGATGAGAAAACGGGCCTAAGTAGGTATGTACTATTGCACTAGAATACAATTCATAACATTTCAATATAACAGTATCTATATGTATTGTATGTTCCTTACGTGTTTATACATACATACTGTAAAAGTGTTAAGGCTCTTAACTTATCTAATAGCGATTTAACTATAGTTTAAAATAGATAAGTTTACTGCCCCTAATATGCTTAATTTGTTAAATGGCCCATCAATTCGATTGACCGTGTATGTTCTTGGGTGTGATTGTACCAGCTGCTGGTGTCGTGAGTGGTGAAATTAGCTCAATTTTATAAGTAAAAAGTATTTTGGCGGAAATTTCTTGCACAATATGAGTCAACGCCGTGTTCGCGGAAGATTTACCTCACGATATTGCAGTTGCGAATTAAAACACAAAAAAAAAAACAATCTTTAAACCAAATGCTAGACAAATTATGAAATTTCGGCTCTAATCATTCCGATCTCTCCACAACCACATTTGTAAAGAAATAAATATTGTACCAGCATGCTGGTAAGTTATATGTTTCGGGCCTGATGGTACAATCACTTGGTGGAGCCAGCAACCTGGTGTCGTATATTTCTCCGTTTACAGGTCTATTCTGCACGTTACCAAAGATTTTGTAACCGGAAAAGTTTATGGCCAAAAAATGTTACCAGTTCTTGTCACCGCGATTCTAGTTACGCTGGTAATACAGTTAAAATATTCAGCAATTCAGCTATGAAGAATTGTGGAAATTCTGGCATTGCATGTTAAGCTGGGATCACATGATTTATACATTTGGCTAAAAATTTGTCAAATTCGTAGACAAATCATGTGAGCGCTAAATTAAATTTGTCATTCATCAGAAAAGCCAAATATTTGCCTTCTTGTGGCAAATAAAAACAACCCTGGTGGCCAAATCGTGTGAACGCAGTGCTGCTACATAAGCCAAATAAAAATTACGCAAATGACCAAATATCTGAGTTGCCACTTGATGACAAATGCCAGTGAAAAATATACAAATATTGTTGGGCGGTATTGCCATTTCGTGCTTGTGAACCTTTGTATTTTCCAATTTTGGCAAAATTTTAATATTTAATATAATATTCGTATCCGATAACTACCGAAAAATATCACGTTATTTGAAAACAAAAATTTTAAAATATTTGCTCAAACTGAATATTTGAAAACATGTACATATACGTATTCGACAGTAGCTGAGTGTGCAGAGAAGCGTGCGACTATTTGTAACCTTCATGAGGTTCCAGGTTCTTATGCCGGCAGACAAATATATTAAAAGTATAATTAATTTCTAAGTATAATTAACTATGAAAAAGCATATTTGAAATTCAGAATGAAAAATTTCAGAAAACCAACCGGAAAAGTATTCGTTTCACAACCCTTCGTGGCACTTTACTATTCACCTTTCTTTCAGTTTTCGGATCTCTCCGCAGTTTTTGCTGGCCATACACATATACATACATGCATATCTTCGTATAAAGTACAAAACCGCGTATGGTCATTCTGCAAAATCGCGTAACCGACATTTGCTGCCAAACATTGAATTTGCTTCCAGAAGCAGTTGGCTCAATCCTTATCCATTCGTCCTGAAATATACTATCCAGAAATGCGATTGCCTTATAAAAAAGAGAACCATTTTGAAATATGAGCGTTTTTACTAACTAGATAATAATTTATGCAACCTCACATAGGCGGCTTTGCA